ATTCAAACCCAAGCAAAGATATGCTGAGCTGGGACAGAGTCATCTGATATTCAATATTCTGCAATTTTGACAGAGGAAGTGTTCAATGTTCTGCTTATTATTGGAGGTAACAATATTCAATATTCTGCTTATTATTGGAGGTAAGTTCTCATTTAAAAAGGATTTTTGATAATGATCATATGGGAGATTCAATTGTCTGCTTAAAATCTATCCTTGTTGGGTTAATACAACATGATATAATCCAATATTGTGCATATTGATGGAAGAAAATTCTCTGCAAACTGCCTATAATAAGGCCTGTCAAATTCAATATCACAGCATAAGCTGCTCTATATCTTCTTGGGCTGGAACCTAACTTCTTCACGAGGTGGTATGTCATTTCTCATCTCCACCTAGATTATCTTATGTTACATCAAACAAGTGCAGTGATGGATTTTTGCATCGGTTTAAATGGTAAGTTCATTTTTCTTTTTTTTTCTATGTACATCTCTTGCAATTGTTAGGTCATTGAAGAAAACCAATCTCTTGGTGAGAAGGTATGTATGTCATCTCTTATGCTACATCAAACCAGCTCACTGTTGGATTTTTGCATCAGTGGTAGGTTCATTTTACTTTTATTTCTGCACATCTCTTGCAAATGTTAAGTCATTGAAGGATAAATCAATCTCGCTTGCCTCAAAGTGTTCTAACCACAATCTGTTTGTTTTAACAGGGAAATTGAAGGATAAATGTCCCTTCCCTCGTTTTAAAACCAAGTTATGATCTTCACAAGAGTCTTGTTTCCCTTGATGGAGTCTTGTTTCCTTTGATTGACTCCACCTTTTGTTCACATAACGTCTTTTATAACTATGAGTTATTATCATGAGCCTATTTTTTCAGCTTCAAAAGACCAAGAGCTGGAGGATGTACAATGATCTGCCGCAGGTTTGATTTCTCTCTCCCTTGGTTACCAATATTATAGTTTTATTTGTCGTGTTGAAATTGCTGTAGTAGCGGGAACATGTCTAATTCCTTTTGGTAAAATTATGGCTTTTTGATTTCTGGTGCTCAACTGATTGAATAGGTATCAGGTGTGTATTTGAATCC